GCTAATATTTTTTAAAGAATATTTATTTGTTTAATTTCCATTAGCTTATTATCACATCTTATATCACAGTGTAAGCACCCCTGGAGGATTTCTACTATTTACAAAAACCCTGACTGTAACATGGAGAGTCGGAGCCCATCGCTGGTATGTGAACTTAATGCCTTGATTTTTTTTTATGAGCTGGAAATGGGACGATTTTAACCTTTTAGGCGCCATTCACATATAGAGTTTGCATTTCCCACATGGTTTTCCATGCGGAAGACCACATGGGATGCAAACACTATATGTGAAACAACTCCAGGGATTCCGCTCGTTTGCGGCCATTATATAGTCGCGAATGTGCGGAATCCGACCGGGTTATCGCTATGGCACTATTTTGGAGGCCACGCAGCTTCCGCGTGTTTTTGTTCTGTTTAGAGCGGCTCCGCGCGTAGTCGTACAACCGAATACGCACGGACAGCCGCCCCAGTGGGAATTGAGCCTAAAGCTTCATTCACACTGGAGCGGCAGTCTGCGCGTATTCATTGTTACATAGTTACATAGTATTTGAGGTTGAATAAAGACATATGTCCATCAAGTCCAACCTATTGTGTGTGTGTGTGTGTGTGTGTGGGTCCCTGTGTCATCTCGTTATTCTGCGTTACAAATACACGTGCAGCCGCTCTAAACAGAAAAAACAATGCATCTTATTGTGCATTGCGAGGACTATTGCGAGGACTGCGAGGGGGGCATGTGGGTGGGGCTTGTATATGGGTGGAGCACAAGGAGGCCCCATAATCTTGTATTGCCGGGGGGCCCCATGTGTTGTCAGTTCCGCCCCTGCCCCTAACTATAAATCTGAAATAGTAAACACAGAATATAAGAAAATTATCACCTTCTTTCATACACTTCACCCACTGGTCACGGCTCTCTGAGGTGGGTGCAAAAATGTACAATGTGTTTGTGTCGTAGACAACCTGGAAAAGAGCAATGAAAAAGGACAGTATTAGACTCACTATTGGACTAACATCAAATTAATTCACACAGGATGTCAGTTGTGGTCAACCCTCCAAGTTAAGCCGCAGGTCATATACGCAAATGTTTTTTCCTGATAAACACCACCACATAATTAGGTACAGACCCTGCAACATGAAGAAACAGTTACTGCTGATGAAATGGGAGCCTGTAAAGCTTCCCTATAACAGAATCCTCAGAGAATGGGATGGAGTTATGACTGTTAATATTCAATCTGTTGGGCTTGTAAAAAATATAAAGTAATAAAATAAAATCACAGGATGCGGTCACATCTTAGCCACCGCAACTAATCAGATTTAATGGTTTAGTGTTATCAGAACAAGTAACACCTGTTTATGGATCAGTTTGGAACGGGCTCCAAACTTAGGAACAGCCAATAATAACCTTAGTACTCTGATCCTAAAATGCTGATCCTGCAGCATGTCAGTGTATGTAAGCAGTCATTTATCATCTAAACTAAAAAAACAAAAATCAAAAATGCAATATATTGCAGATTACCAGTGCCTGGATGCACTTGTTTTCTTGGTAATTCTTTGAATAACTCACTTTCTGTCCCTGGGTGGCTATGCTCACTCCTCCACCTTATCTATGTAGGGAACCATGGTTGTCACCCTTGCTACAAACATGTCTTCCTCTCTACATCTCCTTTACATGGGGGTGAGGGCATTAGTAGTTTACAGAAGGAAATATGATTGCTTGTGCTTTGAGTTTAGCTCACAGCATTTTGGTAAGTTCAGCAGGTGCTTTCTGTATTTGCCAAACAATGAAAACTAATGTAGCGGCCATATCCAATGACTAGTAAGCTGCAATATACAGAATAACATGTTCATTTTGGGGTCTAAAATCCTTTCAACATTTCTGGGCAACCTTTTGGAGTCAACCAAAGAGGACTCCTCAATAAGTAGAAAATGTAATGGACCTGTACCTGAAATGCATATTTATTCTGACAAGGCACTTCGTTCGTTCCATTCTTCACAACTTCCACACACTTGACCTTTGTGATGTCCACAGATCCCTTCTTGTTTTTCTTCTGAAAAAATAAAATGATTACAAATAGCTTTACAACCTTGAATGACCCAATCCTCATACGTTAACAATCATTCTCAAAGGAGACAGCTATGCAGAAGGCCATATCAAAACCAGTAGAGCAGGATCCCACCACAGGATGTTTATGGCAGGGGGTTAACCTGGAAAAGATTCCACTCCTAGCACCCTGTGGTGTTTTATGGGGGTTATGTTTGCATCAAAAGCACCCTCAAGACATCCTGTACTGGGAAAGAAAACATCATACTGCTATCCCTCACCTTAGGATCCAAGGGTAGGCTGTAATCTAATGCTGGCCAGGGTTAAGAAGTTTTCCTGCAATATGACATCGCTGCCTGCTCAACAATGAGCACTGCCAAATCCAAGGGAAGATTCGGATTGAATGAAAGAGCTGTAAGGGGTTTGATGACACTTGTGTAAAGGCGTGTCGATGTAGGTGTATGAATGGATCTAGCGTATTATATGAGCAGGAGCTCAACCATCTTGTTCTCTCTCTTCCTATGTAACATATTATTCTTGCTCTCCTTATAATTATTCTGTAACATTTGTTTAGATAGTTTTGGTAGTAATCTTTCTTTTTTCTTCTCGTTATAAATAAATAAGACCTTTGCTTCTTTTAGAACTTGTGTTATAGTATTATTAGTATAATTATTAGCAGATAATCTTAGATTAGGAAGGGACAAAATTAGAATTTACTAGATGGGATTAAGGTCCTTGTGTGTGTTGCAAAGTAGCCACTGCTCTAAGCTCGCTCCCGTGATGGACTACAATCCCGATACAATTGGGAATTATATTACCCAAAACTTATAATTGAGGTAAAAAATGGAATGAACCATAAGATTTATATTCTTGTGGCAACAAGAGTTCTGCATCCCCAGAGTCCCTAGATCTGCCTACCCACACCACTATGCACGTTGGGTTTTTCATCTACCTGCAGCAGCAGGAGTGATACTCCTGTAGTGGGCTTGTGTTTATGGTAGGTAAAATCTGTAAGGCCTCTATCTGTTAACATTCACTCATAGCTGGAAGCTAAGTTTTACACTGATTGACACTTTTTTAAACTAGTTTTTTTAAGTACAGGCAGTCCCCAGGTTACGAACAAGATAGGGTCTGTAGGTTTGTTCTTGAATTTGTATGCAAGTTGGAACAGGTACATTTTTTAAGTGTAACTCCAGCCAATTTTATTTTCTTTTAAGTTTTGGATAGCATAGGGAAGGGTTACCCCCTGTAATGTTTGTTTTGCTGTGTGTGCCCCTGTTCAGAAGATTTCACCTCACTTTCTGTCCCTGTGACAATTGGATTTTGAAAATGTTGGGTTGTCGTGGAAATAAGGATTGGTGATAAAGCTTCAGTGGAGACACCCTTTTCCCATGATAACTCTTACAGGAGTGAATTTCCCTTCCTAGGGGTAGATTTCCTTTCACTTCCTGTTGTCTCAATGACAGGAAGTGAGATTAAATCTTTCTAATGAGGATACCGACAGCAGTAAAAACCTCAAAATGACCCGGAAGAAGAGGCGGGTACCCCTCGTCTGTCCGTCTAACAAGAGCCAACTTCCTGTAATGTACGTACAGTACTACAAACCAGACAAAAAAGGCAGGCACTCCTCGTCGGCACGAGCGCGGTAGCATTAAAACTGCTGAAATGCTGGGCGGTACACTTTGGCTGCAGCCTGGGACCCCTGCTGTACAGTAATAGACTTCGTTTGTAAGTAGGGGTCGTATGTAAGTCGGATGTTTGTAACTCGGGGACTGCCTGTACAGTGATACAATTGAGAACAATAGTTCATAAATTGTACATGTTACAGAATGCGGCATTTACATCATTACAATGTTCAGTCATGGTAATAGGAAAATTATAGGTATTACTTATATTATTAGGTAACTGTTCAGATAAATCAGGTCATATCAAATTCTATACAAAATGATGATTATATTATGGTAATCGCAGGATAGTAGTACTTCTAAGCCTTAAGAAAAAACCATGGCCTAGCCAAGTTTTCCCAGGTTCATGTATTATAGTGTTTGCCTGTATACAGTATGTTGTTGTGTCAAATATTTATCTGGTGGTAACCAATACAGTTTTGTTTACTTAAAGTTCGTTTTGTAGATTATTCATTTGAGGTCTATACCTACAATAAAGAGGTATATAGTATGTCACCATAGATGTCATTGTTAGGGTAACATTGTTAGCAAATCTTATCACATTTCTGAATGCATCCCCTCTTTCTATGTATACTGCATTCATAGGGAATTACAGGTGTTATTAACCCCTTCGTGACGGGAGACATACACTGTACGTCCCGGCACTTTGTGCCTATATGACTGGCCACGTACACTGTACGTGACGAGTTATATCAGGCTCTGTAATGCTGGTAACTGCTGACTCTCAGCGGTTACCAGTCATTAATAAATGCTTCAGTATTGAGGCATTCATTGATGAAATAGTTAAGCTTTTGTAAAAGCTTTTTTCTTTCATTAATGAAAGAATGAAGCCGTTACATGCAAATACGGGAGCGCTAAATAGCGCTCCGGTATTTGACAGCTGAAAATAGCAGAGAGGCAGCAGAGTGACTCACCTCCCTGCTATTTGTTTTGACCGCTCGATAGACTGGCCCGATGTTTATGAAGCTATGTGATACATCTCAAGCAAAGAGATACAAGAGATACAATGTATCTCTTTGCTTGAAATGTATCATTTCTGATAGTCTAAGCATGATCAAAGTGCTTTAGTGAGATCTGAATCTGACATGCTGTCAGGATCAGTCTCTAAGGTTATTATTAGCTGTTCCTAAGTTTGGAGCAGCCTAATAATAGCCAAAAATTAAAGAAAAGTTAATTTATCAAGCAGTCATAGTGACTGCTTGATATAAACTGACAAAAAAAGTTTTGTTTTTTACAAAGTATTAAAAAAAAGTGTAAAACAAAATTAGGAAAATACAAATTATATATAAATATATTTTTATACTATAATTATTATAAAAAATGTCAAATTTCATTTTTTATATTTGATTCAAACTAAGTGAGGCGTTAGGTACATGTTTGATATAATTATATACCCCCATCTGTCATCTATAAAACAATATATAATATGTGTGGGTACATTTAGTAAGAAAGTATATTACTGCTGTGGAACAGAACAGAAACTGAAAACTAGCTCAGTCATGAAGGGGTTAAGGCTTGACTGACCCTGATCTATTTATGACCCTGATCTCTTTATGTTTTTCTCTCTCAGACCTCCTTGAGGTAGGTAGCAGAACTTCGCTGCGCATTGAGCATTAGGGTGCATGTTTTCTGCAGACCTTAGCAGTTATGTGTTGAAACTTTCTTGGTCTCACACAACCACAGGTTCACTTTTTACAGCCCCGACCACTGAACCTGAAGACACACAAATTCTCATCAGATTAATATGTAACCTGAACAACAGATACAGATATAGTATGTTTTCTCTAACCTCAATAAATCAAGGTAAATGGTTGTTTTTATTATTTTGCAGAAGTTATAAATTAAAGTAATAAATTCAGGATGAGATAGAAAGATGTTTGTTTTCTTTCATTTTAGATCAGATATTCATTCTTTCAATCTTACTCAATAAATCATTACCGGCAGCAACCCAAGACTGATTTGCCATACTTCCCAATTATCCCTCATCTGAAACCAAATCCCTCTGTTCCTCTTTCCTCCTCAGTTGTCCCCCTTTTTGGTCTGATGTTCAGATATCCATGTTCTATTTAACTGTAAAAGTGTTATTCTGCACTAAAACATTCATCCTATCTCTTAATATTTAACACGTTTGCTATTTTGAAAAGCCAGAATAAAAGGAAAAGTAATGGTGGAAATAAAATTATTCTGGATTTAACCAATCATTTTTGGGATATACATTCTTAATAGATATTTGATAGTGTCCAGCGCCTGCTGATAGCACAGGTGTGCGCAGCCTTTAAAATAAAGGTGTGGGGAAGGGCTCAGGGCTCCACCTGGGAGACAGGAAAACTCCACCCAGAAGTAAGAGTGCAGCCCAGCAGGGTGCTGCGGGTTGAAAGAACTCAGTGTGCAGGTTAGGAAAAGACTGAGACTGTCTGGAGTAACAGACAGTGGCCTGAGGTCTGAGGCTGGAGCAGCGGTGCTGCAAAATGCAATGCCAGGAGGCTGGATGTGCATGCGTTGCCAAGAAATGTTAAAGAACCCCTGCAAGGGTAATTGCATTGTTTTTGTGAACTTTCATTTAATAAAAGTGGGCAAAGAAGCCCTTAAAATGAAGATTTCAGCGAGTGGATGCGTCCTTAATGCGCTACCATTTGAAGCTAATTCTCACAATATGTACTGTCTCTTTCACCTTTATATATACTTTGATCATCAAAACGAAAACAGGATATTAGATCAGCACTTGTTATTTGATGTACACATAGTCATTTCACTAGTCCAGGCTGTAACACTGTGAGAACACTGGGTCAAAGCTTAAAGCAGTACAATTAAAGCATATTTAAAAAGCTAATTTATAACATGGGTGCAAAAATGGAAAAAAGGGCCTCAGTCATGAAGGGGTTAATACTAAGGTATAATAAGCAATTACAATGTCCACAGTACAGTAACCTAAAACATCCAATTACATTTTTGTTTAGTGCAGATAGATCAGTAAAAGATTAAATCTAGCCGGTTGTGATAACTTATTGCGCTCTCATATTGCTCTATGGGCTCTTGCCCTAGCTGCAGGCTAACAAAACTGCTGCTAGGTAATTGTGTTAGCTCAAAATAACTGAATGCAGCTGGATTGTTATATATCTATACAATATCTTGTTACATAGCGACACAGGTGTGTTTATTTTTTGACAGCTGACTGCAAAATTACCTTTACATATTCAAGACGGGTATGACAGGGCCTTCCTCAATTTGAAAGTCTTGGGCTTCTAAGCCTAGGGCTACTGTAGCAAAACAGGCTGCAGCTCCTCTCGCCGGACCAGCGAGGTCCGGCGGACAGTTGCAGTCC